GTGCTCTAATCCGGTGTATCCCCATCTTTCAGTAAAGGCACTGACCACTAATAATTCATATTCTCTTTTCTTGTAGGCATTTTAGACTTCACGTTCAAATGTAAACCATGTGAGAAAGGAACCTATTCAAGTGTTAAGAATGGCTGGTGCCGTAACTGGACTGAGTACGTATTTATTGATACGTTCCTTCTTTGGAAATATGCATCATAAAATTCTCAAATGATTATTACTTAAGTTAAAAAATAGAATAGAATCAAAGACAAGCTCACCAATGAGATGAAATGATCAGTTTTCTAAATTCAGCAACACATGATCTTTCTCTCTTCTTTGGCTTTATAAATAGTTGGTCTCAAAGCAGAACTTAAGGCAAACTGCTGTATTCAGCTTGCTTCCAAGTCCAGCTCAAACTGATGCAAAATTATTCCAAGGATGGGCATAACTTGAAACAAAGAGACTGAAAAAAATGTGCACATAAGCAATTGTGATGTAGTGTTATCTTGTTGGGGAACAGCCGTAACTTTACCTGCACTGCTATAAAAAGAGGAAAGGAAGAAAGGGAGCCAAGAGAAAGGCTGGAGAGGAATGAAGGGAAAAGCAGGGATGTTCTAAATGTGACTCTCTTTTTTTAGTTGTGAAGGCTCTGGGTTTCTAACAATCAAGCAAGGCAACAGTACACATAATGCAGTATGTGGTTTCCCTGTTCAACGCTTGGACCAAGGTACCTTCTCACAATGATTTGTTTCTTTGAGCCTGTAACTTTTATCTACACTTCTTCAGTTGGTGATTTGCTGCATAGTTATCATCCAGAGCTTGCTATTGTGAAAATTTGCTTTGAAAATTACTGTTGCGTTTCTTGCAGTATTAATATAGGTAGAATTGTTGACCTGGGCAAAGATGCCACCATTTAAGCACTGTCAGTAATAAAGGTAGAGAAAAGCCCAACAATTGTCCCTGAACAGAGCATGCTTATTTGGCAAATTGTCAGAGTTTTCCATTGAACTGCTCTTGCTGTGTTGCTAGATTTTTGTAGGAAGACCATAGCTTAGGTAGTCATCCAATTCCTTTACAAGTATTGGTTGAGTCCACAACACCCAGAATTGAAATCTGAAGTCTTATCATGGATCAAATTCCATAGGAATAAGTGGGTACAGGCTTTGCAGGTACTGAGTATCTTGAAGACAGCAAGATGCGCTGCTTCTGCCTTTCCCCCCACCCTTGTCCCCACAATGAATTGGTGCCTTTCAGGTCGGGGCTCTTCATTCAGAGAAATTGTTAGTTCTGCTGAGACAAATTGCAAAAAAGTGCTACTTTCACAGACACAAGTGTGAAAATTTGGCTTGCTGTAGTACTGTTAGGGAAACATTGAAACCCCAAAAAAGCAAAAACCGAACCAGAGTAGATCAAACAAGCATTAGCTGCAAGAGAGAGAGGTACATTGAACAATAAAGAGATCAGGCATGTGGGGGTTTTGTGTGAATGCTTCCTACCGCAGACAGTGATCTATTGCGCCCTTGACTTGGAGAATCTCAGCTTTGTTGTTAATACCTGCACTGCTTTTTTCCTTGGAAGATGAATGATTTTCTACAGAGAGAGTAAATTAATCTCTCAATTTCCTTGGGCACATGATTTCTTAATCTTTATTAAATATATTTAATTGCAGTTACTATTACGAATGACTCTCTATATACCACCATCCTGGCCATCCTTACTGCAGTAGCCTTATTTGTTCTCATCTTGCTGACCTTCTTCTTGCATTTCTGCATATGGTCACTGAAGAAAGAAAAATACTACACGGCTGATGGTAAGTGCACCTTTGTGGACTTCTCTACAGCTTTTCAATGCCGAACAATGTGTCCATTGATCCAGAGTCAGAATGGAATAAATTAAGTTGAATAAATAGAGTAAATACGGATTTACTCTGATTTTTGGAGGATTACTTGATTTGACTAAATGCAGTGCATCGCTTGTGTCTTTGTCCTTTCCTCAGAGGGAGGACATGTATGAAGACTTCTTGTATGTGCAGTGCTTTTGCTTATTCTCACTGCAGATCTGGAACATAACTTCCCTAGGCTGCCAGTGGCTCCACAACTGTCACACCATGGAGAAGAGACTTACAGCTGCCAGTTCCCAGAAGAAGAACATGGAGACAAAACACCAGAAGAAAAGCCTTGCTATTTCCACTCTCAGAGTCTACAGTGAAAAACAGATAAATTGCAATGTGCTGTGAGAATAGGGAGCCGAGCTCACCTTTCCAAAAAAAAGGGGCTGGATGCATAAAGCATCATTATATATATAGCAACAAGGAATGGGTTTTGAGGGGAGTTTCATCTTGTTTCTTCTCAACAAACCTAGCATTTAGAAACAGAAAAACCACTAAGTCAGGCTGACAGTCAGTTCATTGCATTATTGCAAGTTTCCTGGCTTGCTGGTTTGTTTTTTTTTTTCATTGATGCTCTTTTCAAATTTGTTTGGGGACGGGGACTCTTTCTGTTGTTATTCCCCTCTGCATCTTGTACACATGTCTCTGTGGTTCTCCCACAGATTGATAGGCATGCAGAAGGCCAGTGTCCCGCCGTCAATCCCTTCAGTGCTACAGGAAATACCGTAGTGCCTATAGGGCACTTTCACATGCTATCCGTATTTCCAAGATGCTTCTTGATGCTCCTATTAAGGGAGTAAGTCATGGCGCCTAGACTGTGCTTTTCACTCCTGCCAAATTGCCCTCTTTGTTATGCAGCAAAGGGCCCTTGTTCTTAATCCATTAAATGTTCTCTCCAGTCCCAGCAGAAGGCGTTGGTTAGGCCAGTCTCTGTGCACAGACATGCTGGTGTGAAACTGCTATGGCCACATCGTCGTTTGTGCTTGCAGAGATTTTTCTGTGGTCCCCTCATCCCCTCCAGGGAAACTAGGGGAAGAAGGGAAAGGAGTAACATTTATCCTCCTCTTCTATAACGCAGCAATCTTTGGTACCTGGAATACTGAATTACAAAAGGGAGACTTCTGGAAGGCTCAAATGAGAATTGCACTATCTGGAGAAAGACATTTGGTTTAATGCTTTCTTCTCACCTAGTTTATAGAGTAGGAAAAGCCCAAAATTTGTTCTCAATGCTTTTTTTTCCCCCACCCCAGAAGAAAAAGAACCAGAGCGTCTGCTGGTGTACACCAGCATAGCTCCGGTGACTTGACCATCAGCTGAAAGATGTTCTCCTTACTGAAAATTGTACCGTTGAGGATTTTTTTTGAATGTTGGATTAGTGCTCCTTCAGTTTCATAGAGCTCTAACATGGCTTCAATTAGTTGGTTTGCGTGAATTTAAAGGGGTTCAGCTGGAGTTGGTTGCTTTCTGTGAATTGATGCTGATTTCAGATAAGAACCTAGCCTGCGGCTTCACCTAGTTAAAACTCAAGTGTCTGTTTCTATGTAATTATTTTTGCGTTATGTGACTGCAATAATGGATTCAAAGCTCTGGATGCCTTCTGGTTTGGCCTTCTGGTGAAAGCTGCTTCGAGTAGACTCTTTTATAACTGAATCAGCTCTGGGCAAAAATGAGTTTTGACTGAGCCTTCACATGAAAAGTTATAAATATCTCACAGTACAGCTATTACATCAGCTTCCTCATGATTTCTTACAAATAATGTAAACAGTACAGGGTTTCTAAATTAAATCCTAACAGAATAATGAAATTTCTGCTAATCGCCTTACTAAACACTCAGAGGGGATTATCCCAAGTCTGAATGACATGCCGTTTTAAGCAGGGCTCTCTGAAATTACAATAGCTGCGGAGCAGAAGTTACTGCCTCCGCAGATGTGTGTTGGAAAAACACTTGAACAGAATCCTAAGAAGTGGGACAGGTTATTACCTTGGTAAGCCAGTCACATAGCCGCTGTGCTCCAAGGCAGGCTTGGCGAGCCTGGGTAATGATCTGCGTGTTAGACCTCCCGTGAGGTGACTCCATGACCTCTCTAGGCAGTGCGGTCCAGTGACTGATTTCAAATCAGAGAAGGAGAGAGATTTTGTTAGTTAAAATTTAGATTATACATTACGAGGAAGAATTGACTCTTCAGCATCTTTTTAAGCATTCATAAACTATCATCTCTGCTTGTTTTCTCTAGGCTGTTATCCTACTTCCCAGGCTGTGGTATCTAGACCTCTTAGTCTCTCCCCTTAAGCTTTTTCCAGTTGGTCTTTCCTGGAGGTCGTCTTGGCAAGCTTGAATAAAGCTGAAGGATTAATTTTATGATTCATGGACATGGTTTTATTGCTGAACATTTATTCAGTGATTATGTCAAGAGGAGTTATCCTGTCTTTTTTGCCATTACTTTTTTTTTTTTGTGCATGATAGAATCTTGTAACTGGGTAAAATAATTGTATGGCAAAATGAAGTGCAAAGGATTATCCCTTTGCTGTAATGTATTCCTCCATAGTCCTGGTTTTAATCTTCTAAATTCTCTGTTATTGTGTTTACTGCAACTGACATCCATATACCTTCGCTTCCCCTTCATGTAGAATGAGAGCAGTGATACTTCTCAACTCTAAAAGGATGTTGTGAGACGTAATTAATACTTTCAGTGTGGTTTTGCTGCCTTTGATCCTCTTACTGTTAATCCTTGTGTTGCTGAGAATTTGTCCCATAGGTATCCCTATGTGAAATTCACTTAAAAAGAGAGAGTTTTCCCCCATTGCTTTGGGAAACGTGCAGATACTTAATTGAGGTGAACTGGAGATTCCGCCAAGGAAAGGGGAAAGCACTGGACTGGATTAAATAGGATAACTTCTTAAAAGTGTAAAGTAACTGCCTTGTAAGCAGTTTCACTCTGGGATTTAATATACTCTGTTGTCTAAACACTGGTTAGTAAAGACACTTCTTACAGCTCTTTTTATGTTGGCCATGTTTATTCTTGGCTCTGTATTGACCTTTTTTTTTTTTTTTTTTGTTTTCAACAAGATTTCTGACTGTGACCTTTTGTAAAGGTAAAATAAACTTGAAAATTGAATGAAGTGCCTATGTGATATAATTACGCAAATTGGAAAGGAGGAGTTTTATTCTTTAGGCTGTCCCAGTGTTCTTGAGCACACTTAGTTTTACTTTCCCAATTCACTTCCCCTCTCTTACAGAACTCTGGCTATCTCAGCAATGTGCCCCCAGCCAAACCCTTCTGTCACTGAATTTTGGATGAGTGCACTTGCACTTTTTCCCCTTTTTAAGCAAGCGGTTTAACATTTCCTGGCTGCTGGCTAAACCAGCTTTTCAGCAACCCACTACCAACATAGCCGGAAACTGTGGCTGACAATTTTTTCCGTTCCTGACAATGGTAGTGAAGCAGCAACATTTTGGGCAAAAAAAAAAAAAAAAAAAAAAAAAAAAGAGATTGCTTTTTTAGGAATGAAA